GAAATGCCCCGTCATGTTGTGTTGAGGCTCTGCCAAAGCACGCAGAGTCGTGAACGTCTTGTTTCTGAAAACGTGATTCAGAACCATCTGCACTTCTGAACAGATTCAGGCTATGCTCATAAGAGGGGACAGCAGAATTATAGCTGAGTCAGGAAATGCTTTTGCCTTACTGATATGAATAGGATCTAATCCAGCAGTAATCATAAAAATAACTGATTATCTGTGCATGAGCGGAACATGTGAAAGTTTCTCCAGAGAAGAAAGAAAAGGATTAATCAGATCTATTTCTAATACATCACTTCATTTGGTACTTTTATTCACTCTCTTAAAAAATTATTTTCTTGTTTCCTGGCACTTTTCAGTGTATTTTCAGTATGTGAGAACTGTTGAATTACTTCATGGATCTGCCTTTAAATTTTTGCCATTCTTTTCACGGGGCTATTTTTGCAGATGAGAAGATCTGTGTAATATGGATTACACCAACTGTGTCCAAATTTCACCACAGTCATTTGAAACATTTTCATTATGTTTAGCTTGTCTTTGATGCCATGGAGTTCACAGCAGATTCAGCAGCAAGTCTTTCCAGTTGTGCACTTCCTGGCTAGGCTCAGATGACTAAATATTTACCAGAGAGGGAGCTTTGCTGGTTCTCAGGAAATTTGGAGAATAAGCAGAAGACTTACAGATGAACTCAGAGCAATTCTGTGCTGAGGTTTTCAGTTTCATTCCAAAGGCAGCAATAAAAGATGTAGGGAATCCCAGAGCCAACGCATGGCTGTGGTGGGTGGGAGGATGGCCAGCTCTGCCCTGGGCTGCCTGTTCCTGGGAAAGAAGTACGCTCTTGTTTTTAAATGGGTTTTAAATGCCTTGAATTGATGGAATGGTAAAGTTAATGGACCCTTTCACTTTTAACACGACTTGTTTTTCTGTTAACATCTGAATGGCAGTCAGAATTATAGAAAAGAATCACAGAAACACCAAGGTTGGAAAAGACCTCCAAAATCATCCAGTCCAACTGCCCACCTATCACCGATTTTTCCCATTCAATCATGGCACTCAGTACAAACATCTAAATTTCCCTTGAACAACTCCAAGAAGGGTCATGTTCTTTAACTACACTTCATATCCAGACAAAGATTTCTGCCTGTCGTATTTATTCATTGCATAGTTGTATCTCTTACTGTTTTATTTCTGAATGTATTTAAAAGATTATAAATATTTGGCATTCTTACAAGGAATGTGCATGTTAGCATTTCCACATGTGCAATGAAAACATGCAAGCAAATGAGTCTTACCATGCAAACCAAGAGTCTTGGTTATCTTCTACCTACCTCTAACTCACTCCAAATAAACAAAATCAAAACAGAAGTTGACAATGAATTGTACAAAGTCTTGTCTTTCTGGTCAACCTTTTCAAAGAAATGTAACGTTATGATGTGCCAGATATTTTTAATTGGAAAGAAAAATGTGATAATCTCTGCAAACATGGACTTCTGATATTTATGTGTTTGTATTTATATACAAACACTAAATTGTTTTTATACATAAATATTGTTTGTGTTTAAATATTTATCTTGGAACTAAAATCTTCAACAGAAGTCATCTAAGTGTCAGTCCAGATTAATATTTTAAATTGATATTAATTCCTTTTCTTCTTTTCCTGTCTACCTATGATACATGGAGAGGTAGGTGAGCAGAATACTGATATTAGGGCAGTTTGCACCTTCACAAGTTGGAGCTTTTTAGGAATCTTGCAGTTAAAGCCAAAGCCGTTAGATGGTGCCATGCTGTAACCAGAATTTTCTCTTTGTCCACTTAAAACTAGACGTATGTTTTATCTGGCATGATCTTAAATGTCTGAACCTATTCTTCTAGCACACTGACTTGTATTGGTCAGCCTTAGCCATTATGCTCAAAACCCAGACGATAAATTAAACCTGTAGAATTTTTTTTTTATTTGTTTCAATGAGAAGACTGCACCATCCTGAAGATTCAACAAAAGAGAAGGCAATGGCAGGACAGATTTACTGCCCCTTTTTCAGTTGAAAGCAGTGCGCAATCTAAATGATTTATTTGTTTGCTAGCCCTGCATGGTGTTGTCTCCTGGGTTATCATTCACCTAAATGGCCAATGTAGTACAATGAAAATGATGGTACGGTTACAAATTCACAGCAATTTACTGGTTAGAATCTGAAACTGGTAAATTATTTAATTTCCATTTTTTTCAGTTACTGCTCAAGGTTGAAAACTTAGGCATGGAATGTTAAGAAATAGAAGAGTATTCAGCAGCTTTGGAAGTCCAGATTGTAAAACTGTGGTGATAAAATGATGGGGTTTATTGTGTGTATAAATGCAGTGCACTTAGGCTTTTGTACAGCATTTGACTTACTACTGTGTGACAGTCTGATACAAAAAATTAACTCTCTACAATACTGGTAAAGCCCACCTCAAATGGAGTGAGTGCTGGTCAACCAGAAGATATCCAAGAGTAGTTGTGCTGGGGGCAGCAGTGTCTAAGGGGGACTGTTTCTACCATGGCTATGCAGGGAATGGTAGCAGGCCTGGCTCTTTGCTTTCATAAAGTAGAAGTAATACTGATGGTACTGACTCTGCTTCTGTGAGACAGTAGCTGAGCATCTGCGAGTCCCTGCAAAACCCTAAAAACTGAAGACTAACATTTTACCTTGGTTGAACCAGTGAAGCGGATGCCGCAGAGAGTCTGATGAGAATTTTTACCTTGCTTTCCATTATGTTAAAACTCCAATAGCATTCGTCTCAACAGGGCAGTGGGTTTAAGGCAGGAAGAAGATTAATTCTTTGCCAGTTGTCATTCTACTCATACTTTTTAGATTGCACAAGTGTTTTATTTATTGCTAACTGTGCTGGTTTGTTTGGCATTATTTAAGGTGATCTGGGAATGCACTGTAATGCACATGGGTCACTCTGACCAGGGAGAGCCTACCAGCTTCTCAGAACGGGCTCCTGCTCACTAAAAGTATTTCCTTAGATTTGTTGTTATTGAAGACGTTACAGTCCTGCTGATTTATTTATTTATTCACTTAGTTATTAAATGGCACTGTAAAAAAGTAGTTGAAGTTCAGAACACAGTAACCAGAATTTTAAAGCTGACTGCAACGTAGGTTGGGAAGCAGACTGAATTCTAAAGCAAGTTTTGTAGCAGAGCTAATAATTCTTGTAAATGTAATGTCTGTGTGAGATATGAACTCTAATAATATTTGTAAACTCCTGAAGCTGAAACTTACTCCAACACCAGATATGGATGGTGAAGATGCACCAGCTACAGATGCTGTTGCAATAGGAGGAGACACAAGTATGTGAGGAAAGTAGCAGTGACCAGTTCCCTGTATTCCGCTCCCAACCACTTCCTCGTTTCAACGATCTCCCAAAATAAATGTAGTGGCTGCTAAGAACCCACATTGGTTTTCAGAAAAAGGCTGGTTACATCATCAGGAACCTGACATTTATTCTGCAACATCCAGTCCTGGACTTTCCTGGATGTGCTGTTCTGTTCTGTCTATTGGTACCAGAAAGCAGCAGAAACCACAGGGAAAGGAAAGCAGCAGTGTGTCTTAACAGCCACAAAAGAGATGAATGTTGCACTGTCCCTCCGTCCACTTTGTCTTTTGGGTGAGAAGGTGACATCCACCGCTCTCAGCTTGTGTGTCAGGTGTGGCAATGCAAGTGAAGCTATCTTTATTGCTGCAGTTGTTTACTTACTTGATAAAGTTATGAATAGAAATGACTGGGGCTAACACAGAGTGTGACTGCAAAAAAAAAAATCCACCCAAAACCACAGAGCAGGAAAATACGTTCCAGTGCATCTCAGTAGACTAGAAGGAAAGTGAAGTAAAGAAAGGGGAAAAAACAAAAGCCGCTTACCGTGAAGCTCTGGGGACAGCTGCATGTTTGTCATCTGTAAAATCTTGCTTTATTTTGTGACTCCTGCATGGTGGGGGAAAGCTGGACAGTTGCTCTGGTGAATAACGTTGATTAATACATCATTGCAATGTAATTTAAGGCAAACTTCTGCTTCATCTTCTCTTTCTCCTGACACAAGTAATCAAAATATGGCCATGTTGGAGAGAGGATGGATAATGAATAAAGAAAGCTCTTTCAGACTTTTTATAATTAAAAAAATATTTAAAAAAATCTATCATTAGCAACAGTGTCAGAAAAGACACCTTCTAGTTAGTGAATATTCTCTGAAGAAAATCCTCACCGATGACTTCCTCTTTTTTTTCTTTCTTTTTTTTTGTTTTAAATTATTTTCTGGTTTGTTTGTTTGTTTTTAATTTTTTTTCCTGCCAACTCAGTCTGCATTTAGCTAGACAGAAAAGTAAAAAAGCATTCCAAGGAGAACCCACAGATACATGCTTGTTCTGAAATGCTATTAAATCAAATTAATTCAGGGTATGGTTAAAGTGGAGACCTAGTGAACTGAATAGAATAACAGAATGGGATGGGATGGGATGGGATGGGATGGGATGGGATGGGATGGGATGGGATGGGATGGGATAGAGTAGAGTAGAGTAGGAGAGAAGGGAAGGGAAGGGAAAGGAAGGGGAGGGAAGGGAAGGGAAGGGAAGGGAAGGGAAGGGAAGGGAAGGGAAGGGAAGGGAAGGGAAGGGAAGGGAAGGGAAGGGAAGGGAAGGGAAGGGAAGGGAAGGGAAGGGAAGGGAAGGGAAGGGAAGGGAAGGGAAGGGAAGGGAAGGGAAGGGAAGGGAAGGGAAGGGAAGGGAAGGGAAGGGAAGGGAGAAGATAGTTATTATGTATTAAATCTAGGATACACCTACATAAAAATTGCTCACAAAGAGCAAAGAAAAATGACTAGGCAGAATGTGATGGAAGAAAATTACTTACACTCCACAGTAGACGGATGTTTGGGTTTAGTGAAATAATATTTACTGATAGGAACTTACCTCTGTATACACATATAAGCTCTTATACAAGAAGTTTATTCATTGTTTTTTTTCACCAAGGATTTTCCTGATGCCTGCGGATCAAAGCCCAAGAGCTGCAGTTCCCTTGTGCAGACTGCAGAATCCATTTCAGATGAGCAATGCGCTTTGGGAAAACCCTGAAGCCAGGTAATAAATGATGCACATGTCATAAACTTTCTTACACTGATCTGCTCTATGGCAAAATGCACGGGAAAGGACTCAGGCTGAGACACGTGTGGATCTCTGCAAAAAGTGCTGATTCACTTCCATTTATACTTTCACCGTCTTTCAGTAGCTATTCACAGCATTCATGTATCAAAACACATTCGGGTTGTTTTACCACCAGAATATATGGTATGAGGAAAGTAAACAGAAGCATTTGCCAGGAATGTTGAAAATGCTGCAGCCCCAGCACAATTTCTCAGCAGTTTACCCCAAGGGTAAGAAAGTTGTGAAGAGTGAGATTTTTCTTAGTAATGTCTCAATTCAGAAGAAATTTTGACAAAAGAGATGACTGTAGGCATGAGATGTTTTGGGTGGTGGAAATACCTAAGTGCTATTGACATCAGTAGTGCAGGTGTTTTTGAACACCTTTTTGCATGCTGAAGACAGAAAGCTCGGGTACTTTGTGGTGTAGCTGATAATTCACAGTGGGTTGGGAACGTGTAAGCTGCAGCATCTGTCACACTGTTGCTGTTCTTGGGGACGGGGACTGCGTTGATTACATCTTTAACTGCTCATGTTTATTGTTTGTTAATGGAAAAAGTTAGTGTGTTGCCTGACTAAAGGGCTTTCTGCATGTGTGTTTGTGGAACCCTTTCTCCAGGTGGAAATAAGGAACACCCCTAGAAAAGAATCATTGTCAACTCAAAGCAGCATACAAAGACACAAAGCTCCCAGTGGCAGAGATCCTTGCCAGCAGGGTTCCCATCCGAACAGAGGAATCCTTTGAAAGATATTTCTCTTCTACAGAGTACTGCAAATGCCCTATACATAAAACCTCATGAGCCCTGGTTTTATTTTGGACAGCAGTAGAAAAAAAGAGGGATTTTTGTTTCTTTCTCCAGAAAGCGTAGCTGACTCACACAGGAGGCAGATGGTCGCAGTGGTCAGACTCCCTGCTTTGTAACCAGCACTTGGTTTTTGCATGCTAATGATTTCTTGTTCCCAAAAATAGCTTTACAGACAGGGTCAATTATATTTTTGGATTGTATGGCGCGTAGAACCATCAGTTAGTTGCACAAGGCGATTGGTTTATCCTGCAGCACACCCCTTCCTCGTAATTGGCACCTTTTTGATATCCCGTTTATAATGGCAGGGTCTATCTTTACAAACAGTGCCTTGTATTAGCATGCAAATGCCCTGGCTCCCCTCAGATAGTTTTACACACAGAGTCAATTATATTTTTGCATTGCACAATGTGTAGACTAATTAGCTATCGCTAAATGGGGCACTTGGTCTTCAGATTTCAAGATCTTTCTGCACTAAGTGATTCTGAGGCGCTTTCAAGGGCAGGCTGGTAAGTAAAATTAGAGAAGGAGATTGTGCTGGCTCATCTCTCAGACTTTCATTAGAATGCAAAATGAGACATTTTCTAGTTATGTTGTTCCATTATCCTTTGCTCTGCATCACTCTGAAGTGGATAAGCTGGGATGCCACACGCAGTTCCCAGAAGGTGCTGGGGAAGGCTGTACGTGTGGGCTCCGTCCAAAGGGAGCACCCTGGAACTGAGGTGGTTAACAGCGTGCTTTGGATTTGGGTAGCAGTTCAAATTTTAATGTGTCTGCTTCCAGTTGTGAAATCAGAAAAGCTAACTTATTCACCACTAGTTTTGATATCAACAATCGTTTCTGTTGACACAGTCAGAAGTTTTCATTTTGAATGCAAAAACATCAGAGCTGCTTTCTCAGGAGAACAGGGAGATGAGGGAAAAGTCTTTGTACATGGCATTTCAGATAAAATTTGTCCTTCACTTGAATTCACTTGAATTCCAAATTGATCTCTAGCTCTGCTAAAAATTGGTGCAAAATCTGGGGATAAATTTAGGCTGTGGCTTTAGATAATTCTTTTTCTTGTGTTTAACAAAACTACAAATGAAGAAACAGAAAACAGTGAATTTAATGCACTCTCTATAGTGCTTATGACAAGATGGTTCATCTGTAGAACACTGGTAGGATACACAATGTAGTTAATAAAATTACTTCTCATTCCTAGTGCACTAAAATTTGTTTTGTACTGAATGTTAGTGAGTGGTCAATGAAAAGCTGGGGGCAGGAAGATTGTGGTTTTGGTTTTTGTTAACATTTTTGAAATGCAGAATGCTCCTCAACCCTTCCTTCCTTCCTTCCTTCCTTCCTTCCTTCCTTCCTTCCTTCCTTCCTTCCTTCCTTCCTTCCTTCCTTCCTTCCTTCCTTCCTTCCTTCCTTCCTTCCTTCCTTCCTTCCTTCCTTCCTTCCTTCCTTCCTTCCTTCCTTCCTTCCTCTCTTCCTCTCTTCCTCTCTTCCTCTCTTCCTCTCTTCCTCTCTTCCTCTCTTCCTCTCTTCCTCTCTTCCTTCCTCTCTTCCTCTCTTCCTCTCTTCCTCTCTTCCTCTCTTCCTCTCTTCCTTCCTCTCTTCCTCTCTTCCTTCCTCTCTTTCTCTCTTTATTTATTTTAATTTGGTTAGCTTAATGCTCCCTCATATGTTACTGAGGGGATAGAGAGGAGATCAGAAATAATGCCAGCAGGGAATGAGTGGAAATTATAGATGAGAAACTACCTAACAGATAGATTCTTTCTCTAGCCTATATTCTAGTTTGGAAACTAAGTGATTGCATGTTCTTTTCACACCAAGGAAGAAAATCACACTTGTTGTTGATACCTAATAATGATACTATGGGGTATGCACAGTCTGAAATCAAGCAGAGAAAAAAAATAGGTTTCTTTCAGCCCAACAGGACTGATGGGGTTTATGTGCATTTCCGAAGCATCTTTTAGAATGGATTCAAATCCTGGAATGGTTTTGGAAAGGAGAATCTACAGAGTAAGATGTTTCCATACTCTCAGCCAGTGCTGTTGTTGAGATCTAAATGGTGCTGTTCTTGTTCAAGGTATGGCTACTTGCAAATGCCAAGTCTGGCTGTTTGATGCTTCCAATGTAACAAATAAAAATAAATTGTGACATAACCTGTGAAGCAGATACATTTTAACAGAAATGCTTTTAAGAATAACCTTAGCAGTTCAGCTATTTCATAAAATAATATAATTGTTTCAGTTGGAAGGGACTCTTAAAGACCACCTACTCCAACTCCCACGCAATGAACAGGGACTTCCACAGCTCCATCGGGTGCTCAGAGCCCCATCCAGCCTGACCTTGGGGTCTCCAGGAATGTGGCACCCACCGCCTCTCTGTCCTCTTCTTATAATCCTTTTAGATACCAACAGGCCGCTCTCAGCTCTCCCCACAGCCTTCCCTTCTCCGTGCAGCACAGCCCAGCTCTCAGCCTGTCCTCGCAGGGAGGTGTTCCATCCCTCACATCGTTTTTGTGCCCTCCTCTGGATGCTCCAACAGCTCCGTGTCTCTCCTGTGCTGAGCACTCCCCATCTGGACGCAGCGCTCCAGGTGAGGTCTCACAGCACGGAGCAGAAGGGCAGATCCCCTCCTCGCCCTGCTGGCTGTGCTGCTTTGGATGCTCCCAGGATCCGGTTGGCTTTCTGGGCTGTGAGGGCACAGTGCTGCTCATTCCAGCTGCCATCCACCCCAGGTCCTTTCTGGTAGGGCTGTGCTCCATCCTTACACCCCCCAGCTTGCCCTGGTAGTGAGGGCTGCCATGACCCAGGTGCCAGACCTTGCACTTGGCTTAGTTGAACCTCATGGGGTTCTCCTGGGCCCACTTCTCAGCCTGTCTGGGTCTCTCTGGATGACATCTTGTCCCTCAAGCATGTTGATGGTGCTGTACATTCTGGTGTCACCTGCAGACTTTCTGATGACACTGTCGATGTCACTGACGAAAGTGTTAAATGGTATTGATTGACCCTTGAGAGACACCATGGTCACCAATCTCCATCTGGACAATGAGCCATGGACCATCCCTCTCTGAATACAATATCACAACCAGTTCTTCATCCACTGAACAGTCCAACCCATCAAATCTTTCCAGTTTGGAGAGAAAGATGTTGTGGGGGACAATGTCAAACACCTCACTGATGTCCTGATAGGTGACATCAGTGGCTCTCCCCTTGTCCATTGTCATGTTTACAATGTCATAGCAGGCCATAAAAGGATATTTTATTTGTTGATTATACATGTTATGCATGTGCACTACATGCTGTACTTTGATACTATATACTAGATAGTATATATGTACTGTATATTTGCTGTACATTGATATGATATACTATGCCTACATGCATATTCTATGTACTACTTCTCGTAGGCAAGAAGGAAGAAGGAGAGAAGGAGAGGAAGAAGTGAGCTTGAGCTCTGCCAACACTGTCAGAGGTGGGACAGCGAGAGCTGAGATTTATCTCTGCTGGAGACCAGTGGAATCTCCTGTGGCTGGAAAAGAACTTCTGGGACAACTCCTCTGGCCAGAGGTGAACAAAACAAGCTAGAGTTTTCTGTCAAGTGGAAGGTCATAATTACTGCTACCACTCTTTGGCAAATTGGCAACTAAGCCAATTGGTAATTTACTGATCAGTGCTTTTACCCAATGAGTTTACATATTTGTATCTATTTTATAATCAAGAGTTCATTGTTTATAGAACATTATGAAGTGTAATAACTTGCACTTTGGATTTTTTCTATATATTTTACATAAATTTCATGAGAACACTTAATTAGTTTGTTAGAATTAATGAAACCCTGAAAAGTTAGAAGTCATGTTTTATACCATTCTGGGTTTTGTTTGAATGTATCTCAAACTAATACACAAGTACAGAACTTAAACAGTTATGTAGTTTTTAGTCCAATACATTCTGTAATGAATTTGTGTGAGAGGAAGAGCGAGAATTATTTGAAGTCTGAAGATCTGTGTTTCAAGTCATGCCCTGGAGATGGTAGCTGTTCTTCTGCCAACAGCAACGCCTTGTGCTTCAGTGGAGGGAAAAGATTAGCCTAGGAAGTAGGTTGTTGCTGAGTGTATCAGAAGTACAGTGTCTCAGGTCTCTGAGCACATGCCCTAAGCGTTCCTCTTCAGAAGATGCCGCATCAGATCTCACATAAGAACACTTTGACTCCATACCTCAGTTTTGCTTCAGGACACAGATCTTCTCTGTATCTTCTCCTGAGCGTCGTTCACTCTTAAGAAATTTATCCTCTGTGAAAACAAACCCTCTGTTAGGAGAGAGCAATAGTTAGATGACCACACACATGCCATATGGTCTATACACACTAATCAAAAGGAAAGTGCTTTCATCATAATTTGAAATTGTAGATAACTTTCATTAAACAAAGTTTTACACTTTTTTAAACATACCTAATGCACTGACTAAGAACTTACTTGCAGTTTGGAGGAGACAAACATATAGGGTGCATTAAAGCAATAGGTGCACAATACTTTTTGTCTCAGAAATGCTGGTGGCTAAGCTGCTGGCGTCTATCCCACATGACACCAAAAGTGATAGGAGTATACTGTTTTCCCAGAAAACTGCCAATCTCACGTAGGTATCTTGAGGTGGCAGATGGTCTTGTCTTTGTAACAACGGTGGAAATGATCATGCGGTTTATTTTTAGTGATGTAAATTTGGAAAAGCAAATCCAGGTGCTCAGGGGAAAATACAAACTTGAAGGATGCTTGGCTTCTTGTACTAGATCTTTATTTTATGTAGAAATCTCATAGTAAGTTATTTCTGAAAATAATCCATGAGATATCTGCATGAATATCATTCTGGAGCCAAATACAAGACATTCTGTCGTACATCTCACAACAGCAAGGCAATGGCTCCAGCACTGTGCTCATCTCTCTGCTATTCTTATAGGTTGCACGTATTTCTGTATTCCTCCACAGATACAGCTATTGATACCTGCTGCAGAGCACGTGTCTTCTCCATGGCTGGTCCCACAAAAGGGCAGTAGAATTCGACAGCCTAGTTTATTACAGATTAAATCCAGTCCTGGAGCGTTGTTGTTTACTGAAGTTTACAGTGTTATTTCATTCCCCAGTGGCCAGCACACTCATTAATTCTCGGCGCAGTGTTTCCCCCAGTTTTGAAAGGATCGTGCTCTTCATTGATCCTAGCACCTGCCCCTTCCTCCAGAAATTAGCATCTGTGTTGTACACCTTCAGCTCCCCGAAGCAGAGGATTCCCAGTTTAACTCCTTTCTTTGGGAGTATTTTTTCCCTGCACTATTCACTGTGCTACTTATGCTACTTTGTGTTCTTTAAGCCATCATATTACACATGATGAGCACCCTGGAAATGAATAATTGCTGCCAGCATTAACTGTCTGTCCCATGAAAACAGCACCCTCTGAATCATAGCACGCTATAGCAGTGTGCAATATAGTTGTTAAAACCTAATTTTCCAGACTAGGTATAAGAAACAACGGCCTTTCTTCCAGTCATTCAGCTGTGGATCAGAATGAAATTGTTAGCGACTGGCTGAATAAGACACAAGAGGAGATGTGTTCAGAGAGGCAGATGCCACACTGCTCCGCTTCTGCCGCTTGCCTTTAAAGTGTGCTTATCCGTAGCATAAGAGTTATTACTGCATTTGCCTATTGAAATGTCATTAAAATTGACTTAACAAAAGCCAAATATTAATGTAGGGTCAAAGCATGTTCTCTGTTGGCACCACTAAAGTTTGCAGCAGGATTTTGCTCATCATTTTATATTCAACTGAATGAAGAACATCTGGCACCTTTGCACTTAAAGCAAAATCAATACAAATAAAACCAAGGGTATTAGCAACAGCTCAGCAGAAGGATCCCAAAGACATATCTGTAATATAATTACACAGCACGACACGACAGCCAGATAGTCTTAAAGTACGTATTCACTCTCAGGCTCCAAACACAATTAATTATTGTGAGAAATAACTTCCTCAGCAACTGCTTTCCTTTTGCTCGGGAAAAAAAATTGAAAACAGTTGGATGTAAACTTCAGAGAAAGGTCGTAGGTTAATAGTGTTCATAAATAGAATAGCAAGGGAATCTCAACTTTAATTGCTATAACGTAAATTACCTTGGAGAGCCCAAATTAGTGATCACTTAGGCTGGCCATTCCACCTTCCCAGTGGGTTCTGCTCACTTTGAGAGCTTAATCCGATTTTCCCAAATTCCATCCAGACGTATTGAGCTTGTGAATGATTTGCACAGTTGCAGCTTCTTCTCCAGGAATTTTAGATTATCTTTTCTTCTCCCAAATTCTTCTCTGCCTGTTTAGTGTCACTGTTGCTACAGATGGATCACTAGTTACTAACTTCTGCCTTAAAAACATATATAAAGCAAACAATGGAATCAAGTATTAGAATTATGGAATTACCATTTGAGTAGCACCATGGCAGTGTTGTGATCTGCCACCCTGGCTGTGTTTTTCAGGTCATTCCTGGCCTGAAAAAGCCCAACGCCTCATGGGCTGAGTTAGTTTTATTTCCTGCTTGTATTTGTTAGTTTTTCTTCTAATTTGAATAAGTGCCTGAGTTGCAGTCACAGTAAACATTTCCTTTTAGCAACTTTTCTGAATTATGTGGGCAAATGTGAAAAATGAAGTCTGACAAGGTCTGTGGGGCTCTCGCTCCATGGCCCAGCGTTGCAGGGGGAGAAATGCTGCTTCTTTCTTTTAATACCATTTAAACTGGAGATTAATCTTTGATAAGAGGTAACTGTGAAGTGATTTATGATTTATGGCTACTTATGTTCAGGGGCAAGCAGCTGTATCAGTGTTTGCAACTTCTGATGGCCTGGATGTAGGATCATGTCTCTCTGTTTGCAAGGGGATGCTGTGGACAAATATCCCAATGATGTCTCTTCATAGAACACAAAAAGGAAGTTGAGAAATGTAGGCATTTTATTTTTAATTTGGCTGTAATGTACTGGTTGATGAAAAATCATGTTAGTTGCCAGTTTAAATTGAAAAGCTTCCTGACTACAGAACTAGAATGTCCTTGTAAAGTAAGAATTATGTTGAAAAGGAAAGCATTTTAAATGCTGATAATGATAATAAAAAATGACAAAAGCTGTTCCAAGAGAAAGAGAAAGAGAAAGAGAAAGAGAAAGAGAAAGAGAAAGAGAAAGAGAAAGAGAAAGAGAAAGAGAAAGAGAAAGAGAAAGAGAAAGGGAATGGGAATGGGAAAGGGAAAAGGAAAGGGAAAGGAAAGGGGAAGGGGGAAGAGGAAGGGGAAGGGGGAAGGGGAAGGGGAAGGGGAGGGAGGGAAGGAGGGAAGGAAGGAGGGAGGGAAGGAGGGAAGGAGGGAAGGAGGGAAGGAGGGAAGGAGGGAAGGAGGGAAGGAGGGAAGGAGGGAAGGAGGGAAGGAAGGAAGGAAGGAAGGAAGGAAGGAAGGAAGGAAGGAAGGAAGGAAGGAAGGAAGGAAGGAAGGAAGGAAGGAAGGAAGGAAGGAAGGAAGGAAGGAAGGAAGGAAGGAAGGGAGGAAGGGAGGAAGGGAGGAAGGGAGGAAGGGAGGAAGGGAGGAAGGGAGGAAGGGAGGAAGGGAGGAAGGGAGGAAGGGAGGAAGGGAGGAAGGGAGGAAGGGAGGAAGGGAGGGAAGGGAGGTTCTTCCTTTCCTGTGCCACCCATTTCATCTAGCTATATTGCAAGTGCTCCATTAGAAAGGAGTTGGGATGTGTCTGGCAAGGTCTGGTGCACTATTCTTTTGATAAAAATTAGATGTTGTGAGTTTTACTGACAAATTATTTAATGATAATTCAAATAGTAATAGTACAAATAGTAATAAGAACATACGATCAGCCATTATTAAGAACATCTGTAAGTGAAGACATTGTCTTTCAATGCTAGCCTCAGTGGTGTAGGAGATCAATTCTTACTAAGGTTGCATCTGCTCATAAAGCACCTACAGTGAACCCCACACAGAAGTGTCCGGGCACAGCGGCTCCCCAAGTGCAGTGCGGGGCTCCATTCAGTAGTGGGAGGGCACCCTGACTTCCCAGTTCTCCAAAACATGAGCGGCTGTCCTCATAGCATGGCTGAGCTAGTGCTGCCTTCTGTTACAGCAGCATGCTAATTATCAGCTGCTAATGTAAAATGGGAGCATTTACCCAATTCTTTGAAACTCCTCTGTACAATAAGAGTCTCCTCTGGAGGCACGTGCTGCCGGTCCTGCTGCATCTGACATACGGGGTTGTCATTCTTGTGCTTCGCTAGCATTGATCTTTTCAGCATTGTTAATGATGACTGTGTATCTCTACTTACATTGCTGTCTTCTGTCTAAAAGAGAGTCTGCAAAATCCATATCTGGTACTAATACAAGAGTGGCATTTAGTATTCTACTTTTCATCGTCAAAATCAAGAAGAGCTTGTTACTGTGCTTTGCATGGACAAGCTCTGTTACTCTGTGCTGCTCACTCTTAGATCAAATGAAAAGATACGGTTGCTGTTGACCTCATTTAAAAGCCCTCTAGAGGAAAAGTCTGAAAAAGTTGATATGGTTTGGCATGATTATTCATTATGCATGGGAAGTGCATTGCTTTATTTTCATTAATTTTACATAGAAATGAGATACAGAGCAACATGCTTTTCTAATTTTTGAGAGCTTCACAAACGTTATGTTATGTTCTACACACAGAGCCACTTATAGACAGGCAAATCCAAAAGCATTCTGTATTCCTCAGCTCATCAATCCACATTTTAAGAGGGTGGGATTGTCCTTGCGTTAAAGGCATTCCTCTCCTTCAGGCTTCCTGTTTGTCTGAAGACTGCTTCTGTAGGATGACTGGCATTGGTGAAACAATGCAGATGTGCTAGAGATATTCCTGTGGCATGCTGTTGAAAATGTTAACTAGTCATCGGTATACAGACATAGCTACAGAAATACATGAGCAGAGCACACAAGTCTAGCTCCCACTGTACTGGACTGGAACTGTTCACAAAAGCCAACATCAAATTTAGGATGATTTTTGGTGATCAGATGGAAGAGTGGAATATCATTTATTTTTGAGGTGCGTTCTTCTTCCCTGAGAGCATGCAACAAAACCCCAGAGAAATGCTGGGGAACTCTGTGAAAGTGATGAGTTATGTACATGAACATCGTGATTCACAGAATCCCACATGGAACAGAACAATACAAAATACAGCATAACCTCATGAAGACAATTGATATTAAAGACATTTGATATACTTGCACTCAATCTCAAACCTACTCCTGACAACCTTTGTTGCAAAGCTGTGTATATTTCACATACGCAAAAGCCTACGAAGATCTGAAGAGGCTGTGCACTCTTCTGCTCTGCTTCCTTTCCACCCTCCATAGCATCCAGTCTCTCTGACCCCGAAGCCCATTGTTCCAAACCCTATAAATGCCACTGTGAATCAAATCTTGCAGTTTCTAAACTTTCAAGTTGAGTGTTTCTTCTATAGCATAAATTACATGAGCTACAATTCTAGCAATCATAAAATTAATCCTTCTACCCCTGAAAGCTTTGCTAAGGTGTAGTCATTTGGCTACAGAATCAGGAGCCAGAAACTTCCTTGTCATTCCGAAACCATTGCCACTTCTTTCATCCAAAGTAAGCAAGCCCTTAAAGTAGCTTGTGGTGGTGGTTCCTTATCTGCGATGTGACGATAATGCCTTTTGCCTTTGAGAAGTGTGATAAAAATTGCTTAAAATCTCAAATGACCTAGAAGTACTAAATGTTATTATCTAAGTATGACTATTCCTGGCTATGGAGTTTGTTCTGTGCATTCTGGTTATTTGTGGTATTCTTTTCAGTGGGCTAACAAACACACTAACACCAAATTAAAGGTAATCAATCACTTTGGTACTTTAGTTACTAAAGATGGACATTCTGCCCTCACTTACCCCAGTGCAGTGCTATTGACTGTTTTGTGATTTACTTGGAGCTTGAATTAGGTTAAAATTGGACCAAAAACATTCACTTTTAATGTAATATGGGTTTTCACATGAATTTAAATTTTTGTTCCACACCTCTGACTTGGAATATCTCATAGAAATTCCATTTCCATAAAGCTGAACGTTTTATGAGGAGTGCCTGTAGCACATTATGCTTAGCAGTTATTCACAGTATTGTATAACCAAAAGGGGCAATTACTGGTGCTTCAGATAGTTACTACTTAACTATGGGGGGTGGTAAGAGTAACCTTAGTTGTGTATGCTAAAAAGAGAAAGTAATTTTTCATCATTTGAAGACAATAACTCTGTATTTTCTGTGTTCTCTGGCCCTCAGAATGGTTTTACCCTGCTGCTGTGGGATTCACTTGCTGATGGATCTGTTGTCCATGATAGCATTGCAGTGAAAGACAGAGGGGGAGAAATCTTTCCCTGGCCCT